CGACATTCATGCTGCTTCCGGCACAAAAACGCGACAACCGTGTCCCGTCGACCGGGAAACCATGGGGCAAAACAACGACCGGCTTTGCAGCGTGGACCGAGGTGCTCCTCATCCCATGCTTTGCAGCCTGCACCATACAACTCGCCCACGAGGTGCTGAACATCCTCGGTGGCCCTCTGGTTCAAGCAAATGCAGCTGCTGAGCGTCGTTGAACTCTTCCCTTGAAGCTCCACCGTTGTCAACTGGGCCAAGGATTACGACACAGCATACAATTGCCACATGCAAGGAACTTGGAAAGCCAACCTGTAACACAATTGTGAGTTGGAATGCAACACAATGCAAAGCTATGACTCTAGACTCTAGACCTTTGCAACTCTCATGTGTACGTAATCTGTTCATCTTTCATTGAACAAAACACAAGTTTGATTCTAGAGTTCTGAATAGTTCTAACTTCTTTCAATAGAATGTTCCCGAAAGTGCAGGTCTCTCTAAAGAACAACTTTGCTCCGTGGTTTGCAACTGTTTCCGCACAAACGAGTTCAAGTTCTTGCTACTCCGCGCGATCCGCGTTTTGTCGAAACATGACTATGCCTTGCTATCGACAAGTCGCTGGGATGACTTGCTCGCCATTCCTTAGATGACCAGCAAAGCCATGCAAGCCGCCGGCCATAGTCTGGGCACTGAGGAATTGATGGCATCAAGCTTCACTGAGGCCTGTACGCGTCCTCCATTTTGAATTTGATGGTCATGGCAGAGTCTGTGGCCCGCATAAAGCTGACAATGTAGGGGTCATTCAGGGACAAGACCTGGACAAAGGCTGCTATTGTTTGCGAGGAAAGCACGATGACAACCTGACTCCGTCTACCCGCACCAGCACCATAAGTTCTGAGTTTGCAGAGATTCGAGCGATCTGACTGAGTCAGAGAAAATTTGTGTGTCCCATATCATGACAGCTCTTTATTGTTCCACGTGTGTTCTTGTCACACGCCTCGTGATTAAAGGTCATGCTGTATGTAGCGGGAAAAGCGGGAGCTCCAGGAAAGTCGGGCTTCTCGCAAACCACCTGCAAACAAAATTGCAGCAACATCCTACATATTCTGGGGATCAAATCCAATCAAAACATGTTTCAGCCCACTTGACTTAACCGCGATGGCATTACATCTACAACACACACATATATATATATATAACGTACTTACTGGCAATCTGATAATATGTTCTTGGCAAACCAATGTTGTCAAAACCAACAGTGCAAAGCACTAGCCGCTAGCCTTGGGCTAGGGCCATTCTCTAGCTCATCCCCAAGATACGCCTGAGAAATGTCCACCACGTTCCAGGTCTCCCCAAGGATCGAGGGGAGAGCCCAAGCCGCCAAAATCCATCGGAGCTCCATGCTGAGAGTCCGGAGAGTGCCCCAAGAGCCAAGCTAAGCGGCTAGTGGCGAGCATGGTATCCACAAGCGGCGCATGAGCACACATTGGCTTCATCAATGTGATCTTACCGAGGCATGCCAGTACTGAGTACTTGATGCCAGTGATACTAAGGCATCTACATCTACGACATCCAGACTCTTGCCTAAATCCAGAGTCGGGTCAGGGAACTTTGGTGTTTCAACAGTCTCCAAAGGCGATCAAACAATACTCCTCCAAAAACTGTCCTCATGCTTGTCAAAAGATCAATCGCATGCTGGTTGTTCCATGTAGCATAGAGTCAATTCCAAGATCTGTAAGGTCCATCCAGCCTTACGCGAAAAGTTGTAGAGCTCATGGTTTCCTCGGTAAAGCTCGGGCACTTTGAAGCTTTGAACAGTGCAAAAATGAACACTGGACTTGTCAATGCGTAGAACAACATGGTCCGGAACCAAGAGCATCAATCAGCTGATGAATGCAACTTTAAACTTGGGTTTTAGAGTCTTAGATGGCCTTAGATGGTCTACAGTAACTAGTCATGTCTAGTCTAGTAGTCTTGAAAGTACATATATAAGACATGCGCTTCGTGGAGAAAACTGTGTGCAGCAAAGAAACCTATGAGATGTAGCACTGGTGGTCCCTTCTCCACAGGTCTTAGAAGCTCCTTGAAGACGTAGGATAAATCGCATCTTTCCAATTCAATCTGTTGCAATTCTCAACCATACAGCGCTCCTGCAAAGCTTTCACTCCCTGTCCTTAGCTCCAACTGAGGGATGGTGAAAGCTGTCAGTCCACACCAAGTCCTTCACCAATCGCTAATCTCGATGCGCATTGATCGTGTTACAGAACTACCCATAGACGGCGCATTCTGGGTCAGTCGGTCAGTCTTGACATAGCATTGTTGTTCTTGGTTGTTTCAGGGCTATACACAAAAACAACTTTGGCCGCTGCGAATGGTGCCCATTCGGTGCTTAGAGTCTTTAGTGGCACCCTCCACAAACGCTTTGTTTAGTGGCACATTGACGAGTTCCACCGTTGTATATAAATGTTCTTTCTTTCAGTTGAGAATATTATGTTGCTTACATGTCTCAAGACATCAGAATCGCATCCACAGTACCTGGGGTCGCCCGATTGCAGCCGTCCACAAAGTCTCCAAGCTGCGCTATGAAGTCCACCTGACACAGGTGCACCTTCCCTGCTCATGAAACCAACTCATGAAAGGAGGTGTTCGGCTCTTGGATCCTTAGGGATAACAAAAAAGAACTATATAATCGGAAAAATAAACAGCACCAATCAGTTAAAACAAAAAATGAGATAGAGCCTAGCTCAAGGCTGTGTTTTGTCTGTGATCCATACCCGTCCATACCATCTCTGTTTCAGGTCTCGCTTTTGAAGCTGGTCGATGCAAAGGCTCAGTTTTACCTCAATACGCGATCCTCGCACAGTGGCTTGGCCATTCGGCCCCACCCCTTGGGCGCCCATTGATGGGGTGCCCTCTTTTCCTGTACAACTTCCAGCCGAATGGATGTCATACCAGTGCTGCGCGCATGCGATGTTTCCCCTACATCCGGGGATAGCAACGAGCACACTTGCACGAAGAACATAAAAATGATGACATGACACTGACATCAGAAAATAAGAGAACACAACAGTCTTACAAAGAATGTGCATAAAAATACAAACACTTGCACCGGAGGTATAAGGAAATCCTCAGACTTGTTCATCTCGATGAGCTATACAACGACCCCTTGTGCGGACTTGACAAACAGCAAAGCGACCCCAGCCAGGGACTAGCATTCGCAGATTGTTCTTCAAACACATTCAAACTGTTAACAAGTAAAATACTATAAGTTAAAGCGGAGATACAAAATGCTTCACAATGTCAATCATCTATCTGAAACACATAAAGACAATAACGACAATTGGTTCAAGGTCATGTCCTCGCTGTTTGTCAAAGTGTCCACTGAGGCCAGCATCGAAACTCAAAAACATATCAGAAGTGATGGACGGAATCTGAACATATCTGATCCAATTCATTGAAAAACAACAACGTGGACACGCTCAAAGACAAAACATATAAATTTACTTTTTTCAGCAGGTTTCGAATGCAAAACAGGAAACTAAAACCAGAAACTCTAAATGGTATTCAATTTGCAAAAGCATTTACGAAGATTCAGCATCCAAGCTTCATCGGGTTGGATCATTTCAGGCACAAAGTGCTCCGTCTGTCGGTGCCGGCAACCTAGGTGCCGCCCACCAGTCTGCGGCTCACGTGCCACTGGATATCACAGGGCTGAACTCTCTGGAGTAGAGCCAAGCTGAGGAAACAAAAAGTCAGTCATTTTCCATGGCTCATCTGATTATGTTTCTTTCATTAAACACATTTCCTTGTTTAAACAGTTTCTTGTCTTTTTAGGGGGCAGGCCGTGAGGAGAGCTAAGTGGCTAAGTAAACGAGCTAAGCAGGTAAAAAAGGCATGATAAGGCTTGTAAGGCTTGCTAGTAGCGAATGGCCGCTACCATCGGCTCCAGGATACACTAGGTATGTAATCCTGAAAAGGGTTAGATGATGTGAGATGCACATTTGGTGACACGGACAAGCATAACAATAATGGGTTGCACTTGTCAGACCAACCCAAGAAGTCTGGGGGATTCGTTTGTGCCTTTTGAAATGATGCGGTAGATGAAAGATTCTGACAAAAAAGTCCAGACCCTGTGACCGCCGGACATGCAAGGATGAAGAAGCTGTTGCGCAAAGAAATCATGTGTCCTGAGCTTACAACAAAGTCTCGGTAGTAGGGCAGTAGGGCTCAGTGGGGCCTTGTAGAACAAGCTTCTTCGTCAGACAAAGAATTCTGCACCTCTCCAACCTCTACCGCAGCCACTCCGTGCTTCTCACAGAGGGAATCCTTTTCCAGGCAGTGGCAAAGGCGAACCAGGTTTTGCTGGTACGGGCGGAGACTGTGCTGCTCCAAAGGCCGTGTTTGAGAGTTCTTCTTCAAGAATGTAAGCTGCTCTTATAGTTGTACAATGACCAGAATACACCGGCAAGCTTGGAGCTAAAAACAAAAGTTGATGAGGGAATCAAACCTTGAGCTGCAAACGGCATTTTCGCCGCGCTTGCATGAGTAATCGTTGATTGACCTTAGAGAAGGTCGACTCTTTTGGAAGCACAATGCAACGCCAGTAGCTGGCTGGATTGGAATTTCAGGTGCTGAAGACAACTGAAATCTGGAAACTTGCTCAAAGGGCCTGACACCAAGCTTTTTGTATGATTTCTGATTCCTCATGCTAGCAATCAAGCAACCTGGATGCCGAGTTCAGCTACGATTGTCTGAGTGCTGCGAAAGCTACACACTTTGGATCAGGTCACCCTTTCAGAAGGCTTTCTATGAAAGGCGCAGGATGCGAAGGTATAGATATTCAAAATGGATGACTCTTCCAATCATGAATTCCACCGCCGATGTCTTGGAATGTATGCATGGTTGTATGATTACTGGCTTGATTTGCTGTCAGCACTCGACCATGGCAAACACTAACTACATACCTAGGTATGTCGACCACTTCCAGCGGTTCTGACATTGAGACCTTCTCAAGTCTCTTCCATCTTTGTGTCTTGGATTTGATCCTGAGACCAAGGCTCAGAAAAAAACATATTCAATATGACTCAGTTGAGCTTTGCATCCGCAACATATTTTTCCACTTAGTTCCAACAGAACCTTTGTTTGATGCGAAATGCATAGTGAACCCAGTTCATGAAAGGCGTAGATGTGTTGACAGCACAGCTGCGAACGATATTTGCTGTCATAAATATGACGGCAAAGCTAGGTACGGTGTTCGTTCATGAAGTATGGACGGTCGCAACTCAAGGCCAACCATGGTGGGGCAACTTGACACTTGAGGAGGCCTATGAATATTATGAATGCCTCACTTTTGATTTTCTCCGTCATCCCGGTCCTCCACTTGCACCTGCGCCAGTGTGACCAACTGACCCTCATAGAGAGAAGAGATCACACCACCTTGGAGACCGAAGGGCAATGAATTGGACTCATGGTGGTGATAAAACGCTGCGAGACTTGCTGATGAACAAAGTCAACTGTTTCGATATCCAAGAGGCTCAGCTGTCCACTATTCAGAAAAAGCTGAACCACCAACCCCTGGTGGGCAAAGGGTGGCAAATGCACCTGACCAAGTCATCAAGCTGCGCTATTGGCCCTCATTCTGCCGCCCGTGAAAGCCAGGGTACACTCAACTCTATGTCTCTCTCACAATGGACTCACAATATCTTTTACAATGCCCTGCTAAAAAAAGCAGTTCTCTTGCAGCTTCTGAGCCTGTCATTGTTGAACTCTGGAGGAAAAGGCAACAACACAACACTAGGCACTAGGCAGTGAGTTCTGTCAATCCAACAATAGTGCGCCTGAAGATATCGCCCGAAGCACTGTACTGGGAATGGCTTTGATGCCTTGGCAATGAGAGGGCAATAAAACTTGACCCAGCTACCAACAAATTATCTTGCCCAACACTGTGTCAAATGGACGTTTCTCGTTACCCCCATTTACAGGATTGGACTTTATCCCCTCGTGTATACATAGGAGTGCTGCAGTCAACAAACCCAATTGTGTGCTTTTTTGAAACTGCAGGAACAAATTCAAGATCATCCTACTGGTAGGTGATAAAGGCATTGTGATGAGCACCGTATATCATGTATATCGCCCAAGCGACGTCCACTCCGATGGGCAATACAAAGGCCTGCTGCTGCGTCACCGAAAGCAGGCGCTCCATCATGGCTCCACAGTCACCGAAGGCATTCCTGATGAACATCGTCCAAAGGCCCAGTGATTTAAGGAATTTCTTGATTTAACTTGAAACATCTGTGGCAAAGTGTCCACAGTACGACGGCTGTGCTGCCATGCCGCAGTTGCTGTCCCCAGAACCGGCGTGGAACGAAAAGCTCGCGTGCGGGGTCCCCGCCGTCAAACTGGTAGATCGTCTTTGAAAACCTCGATCAACACACTTCACCCAGATTCAAAAAGGTAGACAACAGGTGAAATCATTGTTCCCTCTTTTTGTCCGTGATGGACGTAATTAATTAACACAAAGCTGCTTGCACCAACCTTCCGGCATGTGAAAGACAGCTTCCCCGCTGTACTTGTTTGGGTAGGGACGGTAAGGACCGGGACTTCCGGTGCTTACACAACACTAGCTACCGAGCGTTTATTAAGAGTTGCTTCCACGTGTTATGATGACAACGATATAATATAGGACAAATAGACTTCTTGCAGATGCCACCTAACAGTTCTCTCATGGTGTCTTCGTGGCTGAATATCTGGTTGGTAAATTGGAGCTTCGGCACGGCTTGCACGAGCCTTCCGCACGGATTCCGCGAAAATCAAGAGGTCTTTCTATGAATTTTAGTGGCGTTAGTTACATGCCCTTGCGCACTCTTGCGCACAAAAAGGTCTTCCGCACAGCTTTGGTAGCTTCTGCGACTGCAAAAGAGTATATAAACTGGTTTGCCCAAACGTAGACTACGAAAGACTGACGACAAAAAACTGAACTTTGGTGGGAAAAGGACAGGTCTATAGAAGTCTAAGGTCCAAAGATTCACAGGAAGGAGAGAACAACAAACATTACATAACAAATACACAACGAGTAGTGACTTGTCTGTTCTGTACTTGCTTGTCTTTTCGTTTTACACTTGCAAATTCAGTTGACATGCTGAGTCCACAGCGCATCCAGCTCTGAAGGTCCCTTTGGGTGCCCGCTCTGGTCCATTTAGGGAAGTGCAGTACTTTGGCTGCAAAAGGCTTGTCTTTCAGTTGTGTGTTTGCCCAACTTGAAGACATGTTTTTTGGAAGTCAAAGTGTGAGAATGGTTTTGGCTGAAGTGAGTTGGCCTTTAATTCCATGCTCCCTAGAAACTTAATTGCCAAGCATAATGCCTAGCTGCAAAGTGAATAAAGAGAAGGATTAACTGCCTGAATTAGTACCTACTAAGGTACTGGACACTCCTGCAGTAGGTAGGACGCAGTATATCTCACACTTCTTCAAGGAAGCTTCCCCTGCGGGCTTCCTTGAGGAAGCGCTCGCACTATTATATAATCATTGGTTACTAGATTTTTAGGGAAACTAGCCACAGTTGCTTGGCGGCTCCCAAAAACCCGTATCTGACCCAGATCGAAACTGTGATGATTTGCTCTCGAGCGGCTCTGCGATAGAGTCCTCAGTCGAAAGCAGGTGCATAAGTGAACCGGAAGCAACACTACAGAGACATCTATACAGCGAACAACTATATTGCTGGGACTGCTGCCTTCCAAGGGCTAACTTAAATACAATTTGTAGCTGGATGTTTTAACCCAGTCTTGAAAACAGCTAGACAAAAGGCCAAAGAGGTTCATCGATGATGGCAAATCACAATAAACAATGCTCTTACACTTGCTCTTACATGTGCACAGAATATGACATGGTGGCTAATGTGCATGAAACGTCGAACTCTGAACGCTTTCAGGTGCTGAGTCTGGGCTGAACCTGTTAGACTTGGCCCAGCTGCAAAGCTTCGCAGATTGAGGCCTTCCATTCCCTCACCAGACCACCACTTCAGACTGGCTGCCTAAGGTCAGACCAAGACGCTGTCACAGTCGACTGAGCTGATCAAGCACACTGTCGGTTGGCTAAGCTCCCAACGATGGCATCCGCACATCGCGCTCCGCTGACTGAGAGTGGATGACGATTGGGTGCTGGCTGTTGCCGGAACTCCTCCTCCGTGAAGCCTCAGAAAACCAGTGCGTGGTGTGAATCCGCTAGGCACATGAGCCGGACAGTTCCAAGGGCCAAGCACGATCAATATTTTATTGATAATCAGGAGTCCAACTTGCTCCACATGCCAAAAGGAAAGTAAGCACAATCAGCGGAAAAAACTCGTTTCTGAAATAGTAATTGATCCAAAGTCACTAAAGAAGAAGATGCCTTGACCTGCACATATCAAAACCGTTCTCGCAACGATCATCTGAAGAACGGTCTAGTCCAGGAGTGTCTTACCTCCAATTGCCTCCTAATATCTCCTAATCCAAAACTGGATTCAGCATGCATGGAGATCACTGCACTGTCGCCCCAAAGCCGTCCGTGGCCTTCTGCAGCAGTCCTGAGCAGCAATCAGTGCTCCAAAGCAGTAACGAGGTGATCCCTGGTACAAGCCTGATAGGCCTTCTTTGGTCGCAGCAAAGTTGTGAGAGGCTACCGGCGAGCGCGTGTTTCACGAGATTTAACAAGCAAATCATGCTCTGCTTGCAGTCAAGTGTCACAACAACCGGGCCACGCTCCATTTGCAACTCAATTAGCAGCAGCAAATAGATCTCCTGGCAATCGCGACAAATCATCATCAGGGAATTCCCGCACTTCAATGCACAGGACCAAGCAAATACAGTAATAATCTAGATGCACGCAGCCATGCACATGCTCCAGCAATTTGAGGCATGGATCTTCATCTCCACTCATACTGAACTTGAGGAACACACACTGATACCGCGTCTTCTAGCGATATGGTGTCCCCATGTTGGCTTACTCATAGAATCACAAGGGATGATGAGGCAATTCTGCAATTCAATTGCAGATTATGTTTACTTTTCACTTGCAAATCCAAAGCCTAATTAGTAGCAAGGATGCTGTTCGGTGGAGGCCATCGCAAGTAGGTTGGAGGCCGTCGCTACTAGTAGCATCTAGTAGCAGGAAGCTCCTAGTAGCAAGGACGCTTTGCTCAGCTACTACCTTAAGTTTATCCCTAAAAATCTAGGAACCAAATCATTAGTGTGAGCGCTTCTTCAAGGAAGCTTCCCTCGCCGCCCTGTCGCGGGGGAGTTTCCTTGAAGATACCCCTAGCTACTACCTCAGCGGCCTACCCCCCCCGGCGGGCATAAGAAGAATGCTTAATTTAAACTAAATTAACTACTAGCTTCTTGTTACTACTAGTAAGGCACTTGTTACTAGTACTAGCAAGGCACTTGTTACTGCTAAGTCGTTTAGTTTAGCTCAGCTCCTGAGCTTCCGGAAAATGATGCTTCAAGGATTCTCGGAGACGAAGAGCTTGGCCTCTCACGGAGCGCCAAAGGTCTGAAGGTCACCAACAGACCGCTGACTGCAGAATTGAGCAAGCACTTGCATGCCACAAACCCGTACCTTATACGGTAGTTGCCATACCAGAAACACACTTTGTTCAGCCAACGTGCTAACTTTTGCTTTTCAAAGTGTGCCATGTCTGAACTCAGAATGCACAGTCCCAATTATTGAGGGCATGCCCCATATTCCACTAATGCAAAGACTCTTAGTGAAATCCTAGTCTGTGAGTTTCATAGATGTCTTGATAATTTGAATAAAGTAAGAGGAAGGCCTTCGTTCTATATCTGAGAAACTCTTTCGACTGGAGGTACAACTCCTCTCATATCAGTGAAATCCGTGGATTGGTGAGAATCAGCGTCGAGGGACATTTCTCCGGCGGCCAGAACCATCCAGAACCCCCCCTTGGAAGAATTAGTAGCGATGCCCTTTGTTACTAGTAGCTTCTTGCTACCAAGTAGTAGTAATGCCAGGAGCTACTAGTAGCTTCTTGCTCCCAGTAGCGATGCCCTTTGTTACTAGTAGCGTCCTTGTTCCTAGCAGTAAGAAAATTCCGACAAAATGTCTGCGATTTCCGCTTCGTGCGCTTTGAGCAATGAAGGGACATTCCGAATTCCGCGGCAATAACAAACAATTTGCGGAAAAGGAAGTTACGCATAATTGTTCTCCCAATCACATGGCTTTTTATGTTTGTATGGGGGGCCCCCGTTTGCATCTAGACTCAAACTCTGAGGAAACAACTCCTCCAAACTGCAAGAAAGTGCTTTACACGGGGGGAGCTGGGGAGCCTGTAAACAAAGGAGGCCCTGACCTTGGCCTCATAATGCCTCTAATAGCGATGGCCTCCAACCTAACAATAGCGATGGCCCAACCTACTGGCGATGGCCTCCATCCTAAGAGCGATGGCCTCCATCCTAGTAGCAAAAGGACATTTTATTGCCAGGAGCCCCTAGTAGCGTCCTTGCTCCTAGTAGCGATACCAGGAGCCCCTAGTAGCGTTTATTTCAAAGTCTGATTTCTTTTGCTCTCCAGGTGGCCGATCTCGCGGGTGGAGTTGATAATCCGCACGAAGACGCGTGGCACCTTGGGCGACACATCGCCCGTGCCCAGGAAGCGATGGATCCGCCTGGAGTGGAGCCAAGCAGAGGTACCGAGGGCAGGATCAAAATGGTCAAAAAGTCTTCTGACGTGGTTTATTAGTACATAGTTTATTTATGTCCAAATCTCATGTGATTTCAACATTGCGAATCTAACGCAAGAAGAGTATCATCATAAACTGATCTTATTTATACCAGGTCCAAGCCCGACATACATGGAGTCCTTATTTAAAACCACTGAATTGCGTATATAATACCATATCTGGGGCGTCCGCACGCGGTCCTTTGATCAGAGTAACATGAATAACACAAATTCTCAAACAAGTATGAATACTCCTCAATAATTTCTGTACAAACTGGTATACAACCACATTAAATAACAATTGCATATTGCTAAAATACGACTCAAGAAAGCAGCCCTCCCAGCTGCTACATGTACAATAGGAAGGGACAGCAACAAAAGCAATCTGCCTCCCCCAACACCTTGATAGGTAGTGAAAACTTTACCGTATGGTCATGATACATAACCGTGCTGAGTTGTGCCTAGGTTCATCCTTCGCTTGCGAAAACGAGTGTTTAGTGGCGCTCAACAGAAGCCTCCTTCCACCCCTTCAGTCCTGGTCATGTCCTGAAGTGTCATCGGGGCTTCCAGGTTGTGATGCCAGAAGGATCCGCCCCAACGAGTGCCGCCAAAGACCACGTGTTGATCCACCATGTTGTACGTGGAATAGGTGAGGAAATCCTGCGGCTGCATTCATTTTGATCCCAAAGAGACCCTTCCCCCAATACTTTTGAGATACACAGTCAGATTGCAAACACATATTTGATCCGCATGGAACTCGTTCAGGAGTCGTATGAAACGACAGGTTTTGGACACCAAAGAATGCCAGGCCTCGAACCTCATGTCCATGCAGTGCAAAACCCCTTCAAGCGAGCTGCGAGTCCAGTCGAAGGGATAGGAGTTCCTTGTGATCTTGGCTCAAAAGGACGGCAAATTGGGCCCTTGATGGTTGGACAACTCAAACTTTGTAGTTGTGAATACTTAATGTTCTAGCTACTTACTTGGGAAGATAGTACAACATTGAACATATACGGCCGCACCCACTGATTCCACTGAAGCCAATAGAACCATGCGCAGCAAGGACTCTATGTAGAGGCGGAATACTGAGTAGAGTTGTAGAGTTGGGAGAAGAAACAACATCAAGTTCTGGACACCTGCAAGTCACTTCCGAAGGTTGAGAAGCTGCATGGCATAGGAAGGAGCGCAATAGCATCCAAGACTTATGAATTCGCACCTTTCCTCGGACTGTCGCTTCATTGCAACATGGCAGTTGAACTAACCTAATAGCAATGGTCTCCAAAATGGCCTCCAACCTACTATCCATGTACTGTAAAGAGAATCACCAAAAGCTGCTTTCGATGGGGGAAGAGCTGGATATTAGACATTGATGCACTAGTAACAAGCAGCTACTAGGGGCTCCTGGCCTTACTATTGGGTCTTGCAGGATCGGAAATGGACCCGAAGCTGAACTCAATGCTGTCCTCGCAACGGCCCCAAACACCGTATACTTAAATGCCTTCAAGTAGTTCTGATGCCGCTATAGGAGATTTCCGGCAACACAATTATCACAATTACTTCAAGTTGATTGCTGAAGTTTGGTAAGGTCATTCTTTCTCTTGCCCAGCTGCCATAAAGGCGGATACGCTAGGCCCACAAAGCTTCAATGCAGAACGCCTTTCATCTGACGTCATCTCAGGCACAAAGGTGTAGCCTGTCTGAAGACTGGGATCCTTGGGCAGCTGAGCTCCAATGATACTGTATAACACAATATGTATATATATATATAACGTTATATTGTACGCGAGTGATTGCCAACCTAGAGCGATGGCCTCCAACCCAATCTGAGAACATCCAATGTCTATTCCTTCATCACAACCTCACCAGGAAAAAGGCACATGAGCAAACCCATGCACATTGCACTTCGCAAGATATATCGGAGCTCTCATCTATAGTCATTAAAGTCTAGACTTTAGTCTGAACCAAGAGTCTTCCAAGTGCGCATCCCATGGTTGGTTTGTGACAGTCTGGTTGCCACCCGTGGCCACCTGAGCTGCCTTTGGGTCGACCACCGACGCGACCAATCCTTCTGCAGCGGCTACGGCGACGACCTCGGGTGGTCCCTGAACCGGCAAGTTGTCTTCACCGGCGTTCTATCAAAAATGGCAACTAGCCCGAGAGAGGGCACGTTGATTGCATATGTTATATATTGTTGTATATATGATATATGATGAACATACTGCAAGAAAGCATCCAACAATTTTGGTACTGTAGTCTCATCTAAGTCAAGGTGCAGCTGCTCCTGTCGCCGCTGCTCCTGTCACCGAAACATCTGCCACTGCAGTTGCCCTTAAGTCAGGGGCGCTCTGATCTGCAAGTCCCTCCATCAACACGGAAATATCACGCAAAGTTCTTGACTGTTTTGAGCCAGAAACCGCAGTCGGTTCCTCGTGAAGTACAAAGCACCACAAGTTGATTGGTCAAAAATGCTTAAAGTCGCTAGTTCCGGGTCACATGACATTGGATTCTGGATTGCAAATAGACATATAGTTGGCCGACATGAGCCGACCACCCCGCAAGGGTCCAATGGTGTGTCCATCCATGCCCTAAACATGACATGAATTGAGTAGTGCTGACACCACGGGTTAGCTACTCGCAAGTTGAGACACATGTAAGCTCTGTTGGAATGCTGGTGGCAACGCCACAAATAAGCCCAGTCCGAACAACCAAAGAGCTGTTGATACATGTTGATACTATGCCGGGGTGGACTTGGCTGTCAATACTACAAGAAGCACGTGTCAACTTGTTGGCCTGGGCCAATGGCGCTGTGCATTTGCTATGGATCATGGATACATGTGGTTCAGAATCAGTGAACGAACAGTATCTCAGGCGACTAGACAGCAGTTTGAATAGTATCCCAGGTATGAAGTGATTCAAGTCTTGCCTCCTCCTCATCAAACCACCTGGAGTCTCAGCTCTCCAAGAGATTTACACTGAAGACAATTTAGCTTAGTATTACAGTATTACAATGTTTCCAAATACAGTACTAGTGAAGCTTGAAACTCACCCAATAGTTGTATACAGTTGAATCAGCTGACAAATATTGATTTTTTCCAAACCACCCAAGACTACCCTTCGGAATAGTCAAATTGAAACACATGTCAAAGTCGTAGACCATCCAGCTTGGCCTTGTCAAATCTGGTCACCGAGGCTGGCACTTGACAGCCTGGTCCCAGAGCTCCCGGGAGCGGCGATAGCGCCTATGCACCCGATGAAAGAGGACCGGGTCACAAAGAAATGACATCAGAAAGCCAAGATTGAGGAATAACTAGTAGTTTCTTGTTGCTAGTAGTAATGGCATCCAACCTAATAGCGATGGCCTCCATCCTACTAGGTTCTTGCTACTAGTAGCTTCTTGTTACTAGTAGCGATGCCCTTGTTACTACTAGCTTCTTGCTACTAGCAGTAACGCCCTTGTTACTAGTAGCGATGCCCTTGTTGCATTTGTTCAGAAACATCAGGACCCCTGTCACACTTAATGCCTTCCACAAGCACATTGGACACCTGGCCTCAGGCGTGAGCCGCTGAAGTTCAGGGCATCTTCTCTGTCGGCATACCTGAGATTCTAAGCTTTGAGACCAGGAAGACTCTTTAGAACCATGGACAAATCTGTTTAAAACCAACCCGTTACAATTTGACAAGTATATAGATCCGAGCGGCCTGGAGCAGCCAGACTCTTGCGATTCAGAGGAAACAAACATCAAAATATAAGCTCGATTTCTGTTCACATCGAATCTAGACTCTTCTCTTTGCTGAACTTGAGTCCAGCGGCACTTTGTTAAGTACCCTTGACATGTTTTCAAAGGCATGTCCAATGATGCGCACAGTTACATTCAAAGCACAAAAGGGGGACTGCCACCAATCCACAACCTCTTTCAAGCTTTCAAAACAATGCAACAACCAAGCTAGTAGAAACAAGTGCCACGCTAGTAGTAACAGGTGCCTTACTAGTAGTAACAAGAAGCTATTAGGAACAAGTGCCACGCTAGTAGTGCCATCAATCCTTCAAAGCTCCAAGGGCCGAGCTGAACATCAGCAACAACCCCGAAACGGAAAAGCGGCTCCTGCAAAGCTGCAAACATGGCCCAAGCTGGCTTCGCCATGTCATGTATAGTTCAAGGATATATATATATATAATATTATATATATATATTGTAATTTGTCAGGAGACAGGACAATGACTCCAAGATCACGGCGCCATTCATTTTGGTTTGCGGGAAGCATCACCACAACTCTAGCATCAAGGTTTGCTTGCTCAGCGCCTGTCCTCTGCTTTGAGAGCCATCTCACGTCGTTTTCGAAGCATCCGGCGTAGTCGTGGCACTCGGCAAACGGCCCTCAGCTGTTGTGACAACCTTGTTTTGGAAAAGGTTTGTTGCAGAAGTGAGTTGCTTTGAAACGCCATTAAGGCTTCATGCATCGGCAAATCGGACTTGAATTCTCTCTTCAATCATCTTGAATCAAGGGTACACTAGCAATGAATCCTAGCAAACCAAGGCAAGGATCAGGATTAGGCATTGCACATCATCAACGCATGTCCATCTTATAAACTCTCAACTCTGAAGAATTGGCAGCTCGCGCCCGTGTCTCCACACCTGACCAACGAACCTGCAACGAGGCAGCTGCATAAGGATAACCGAGACTTCTGACCTGCAGGTGGGCGGAATTGCTTGAGGTTGTAGAGGTTAAAACCCTATCTGATGCTCCCTAAATTCTGACCGTGCTCGATAGCTAGGCTACCATGATAGTCCATCGAGGTCTGCAATGTGCACTCCGCAGGTCTGCAGGTCTAGCTCTGACAGTCATGGGAAGCCTCTATGTCTCAAAGTATTTCGCGAGAAGCTTGAAGTCTCTTGTGAGATGCTTCCAACTCCTTCGCCAGGGGCCAACAAACATTGTGCCATTCGGATGATAATTATGTCAAATGTCTGGTATGCTCCAAGGGTTGCAAGGACGTGGTGGCCAAATGGAACCTGCAGGTTCCTTGTTGACTGCCTTTGTTTGGGAACGTCTGTCATGGTCGTGGTAGTGTGCTGATGGTGCCCTACTACATCAAGGGACTCCAACGGCAAGCACTTTACAATACCAAGACTCAACAGCTTTGTGTTCAATGGTCACCTGGCCTTTTGTTTCAACAGCAATCGACTCGAAGGTTCAGTGTCTGAAAAGGGAAATCAAGGAGAGAGAATGGATCATATTACAGTACTGCCTTTCGAGACATAACACTGCAACAATTATAACTATGAGTTTGGCCAATTTTATAAAGCACGAGAAAACAAGGATGCACAAATCAAGATTCCATTACACAAGCCTGTGTTGTTGCAGGGATCGAGCACAGAACGAAACTATGTCAATCTCCTTTCACTGTTTCTAAATAACATCGCATCCATCAATTGCTCAAAGCTCCTGTTCTGCTCAGCAGCAGGGGAGTGCAAAACACTGGCTGCTGAATCGCCATGTTTGCCACCGATTCAAACGTCTGCAGATTGTTTTACACCTTTTGATGGCCAACCTACAATTTAACGGCTGAACAGTTGGCCCAATACAGTCTGGAATGACTCTCTTTCTCCAACTATCTCCAGCTTTCATGACCGATAGCTTCTCTCAACGTCCCAGTGACTCTAAGCCAGACTGATTTCCCACATGCAATTGGTTTTTGCAAAGTCTTCGGGCCACCTTGTTTGTATCTCCTCAGCCAAAGAACTAGCCCTTCAGCTGGTATGCCCATGACTCGCCCCTTTTTCCCTGAGCAGCCTTGCCAAAGAACTCTCCCAGAAAGAGAGGACCTCCTTGGTCGTTTTGGCCTAGAAATGCACGGACAACTGGTTGAACTCCCCAATTGAAGCACGGCAAAACCCACCTGGAAGTCCTTCATGGCACTGCTGCGAGTCTCCAAAGACTTTTCAGTGGCAAGCTGAAGAAGAAGATCTGGGAAGCTCCTTCGATAGGTACAGTTTCTGTCAACTATCTAAAGCCTAAAGCTGACTGCGCCACTGTCATTTAATTACTACACTCTCTTAGACTCACTTGCGCATATTGATGAGCAGCTCGCTCAGGCCGTCCTAAAGTAGACCATGTGAGGTAGCCGCACCAGGTCGGAATAGGCAGCCAGCTCGAGACACCTGCGAAAATTGAGCAGCAATACAAGTGCATTGGGACCTCTGGACCTCAGCATTTGTGATTGGATAGAGTGGCTGATAGCGTCTTCGCTGTGAAACAATAGAATCACACAATCATCTAAATGATTGATCTTGTCATGTACCCCCCCACCCCCCGCCCGTCGGGTGCCAAATGTCGCAAGCCTTTTGTGGCACAAAAAGGTGGCAGTGAATCACTTTGGGCCAGTGAAGGCTCCATGACGGCAGGGTCTGCAATAGTCCAAGAGAAAGACCACATGAAGAAGTCAGCCTCAGCGGCCACAAATCCATCCACTTTCAAACACAGCGATGGCCTCCACACTAGTAGGTTCTTGTTCCTAGTAGCGATGGCCTCCAACCTACTAGCTTCTTGCTCCTAGTAGTACGGCCAGGAGCCCCTAGTGGCGTCCTTGTTCCTAGTAGCGATGCCCTTTGCTCCTAGTAGCTTCTTGTTCCTAGTAGCGATGGCCTCCACCCTACGTCAGTTTCAATGGTTGAACAGCGGAGTTCAGAGTGGCAGTAGAGTCCGATGCTCATGGCACTCTGAGTCAGTCATGCTGAGAACTTAACCTAGCCTTTTTGAGTCTTTCCACACAATATGAAACATACTATATAGACTATATAGCACTTCTGAAGCACTTAGATGGTCACGCTCTAAACAAAATACCATGCCAAAATGCTACCAATTGGCAGGCAGAAAAATCGGCACACCCATACTGTAGAGCTCCAAGAGTTTCATAAAGTGCACCTGGACAACCACAACAAACATCACTGTAGTAGTTCAATGTTTAATCTTGAGGGTCAGGAATCTCATCTTGTATCGATTTAGTTTGACAGTTTGACAGAGTAAATTGCAAAACATTCTTGGGCAATGGCATCATAAGGGAAGACCACAGCCGCGTGATACTCTGCTAATCTCTTGTACCGATCTGGACGGTGAGCCTTCCAGGACGGCACCTCCTGTACACAGATTTGGGTGACGATGTTTTCTGTCATCAAAGCTTTCATTCGCAAGAAACCAAGAAGTTGAGGGCCTCTAAACCAATCATCTGCAGGCTCAACCGATTGACCTCCTGAAATCTTTTCAGGAGGGGCAAGAAGAAGGGCCGGTGTGGCAGCTGCTGGATGACCAATACCTTAAAATGTGCAAAGAATGGCGAAGGCGAATGCACAGCAATGCTTGTGTGGCAAAGATCAGGCCAATCTTCTGTGGGTGGACAAACATGAGAGATATTTTCTTCACCGCCTTCGCAGTTTGTTTAGAAGTGAATTAGAGTTGAGCCATGATACCGCCTCGTGGCGTGGATGCCATTTCCATTGAGCAGTTTGTATGGCTAAATACCTGACAATGGGAAGTCGCACACCTGTCTGCCATTGAACCTCAGCTGCCCACACCAAACGTTGCGACTCATGGTCCAATACAGTAAGCATAGCTTGCCTTGAACTATACCGTATACCCACTCGACGAAGCTGCTTTTCCGGCACAGGGCAGCGAAGCACATTGTCGTTATTAAATGTGTTCTTGCTGTTCTATTTGCAACCTGACATGTCAGCTTTGTGGATCGGCGTTTGCAGCTCTGATATGTTCTGATTCTTTAAGTATATAGCCACCGCTGCTGCCACTATGGATTAAATAAATTATGTCACTGTGTGTGTGTTGCTGTTGCCACTATGGATCAGATTGATTGTCATTTTGCTGGGAAGATTGCTAAGATTCGCTAAGATTACTTTTTCGCTTACCGCGATATCTCCTTGTAATTGTCCAAAGAAATTTGGATGGCCTTGTTGTGGCAGAAAAGATGAACACTCTTTGCATCTTACTACACCAATCCTGCCAAGTGTGGGAAAGTAAGGCTGCACACAGCAGTTTGGTGATCATTGTGGTATGATCTCGCAGCAAATGAACCTGCAACTGCTACAAGAGCAACACATCTTATATGGAGGCTCTTCTTGAAAGCACATGTGTTCTTTGCAACTCAGCTGAAAGCTTGCATTTGAAGAAAGGCTGTATGACCTCAGAAAGCTCAGCCAAAGCCTGATCAAACCGCCACGACCTCACAATAACGTGTCCGCCTCACCCCTGGACTTTTCAATAAAGAAGGCCCTGTTGAAGGAGCTCTTACGGTACTCTTACCTTCTTTTAGTCCCATTTAGATAAAATTATGGTCAATATATTCCTGTGTCTTCTTCACGCAGGACCAAATTCACAAGGCTCGGACAAACAAAGAAGTTGCGCGGCTCTTGGGCCTGGACATGCACATGTGTATATAAAGATATATATCCGCCGACCCCTGCTCTGGCGAAGGCAGGGGCGGCGCCTGGGACCACCGAAGGTGTGGAACCTGAGCTCTCCAAATCCTTACTTTTCTGGGCCCGAAAGCAAAAGCGCCAAAAGTTCGCACTTGCTAGACTGTGGGCTCTGGGCTCTGTGCCAGACTGTGGGCCATACTGGCCGTTGGAGCAGCCAGCTTCTGGATTCTGGACGCTTCAGACGCTCCAAAACCTCGCACTTGCCAGACTGTGGGCTCTGGGCTCTGCGAGACTGTGGGCGGAGTTGCGCAGGCTGTGGGCTCGGGGCTCTGGCGCGCCAAATCCTTTTTTTCTAGTGGCCCGAAACTGCCCTTCAAACGCCTCAAACCCCTCAAACCCCTCAAACGCTCCGACACTTGCCAATGCCCTGATCTTCCAAAAGTCTCTATTTAGAGGTTCCACCCTTATTTAAAGACTATAGTCTTTATTTTTTTCAATGAAAAACCTCTAAATAAGGTCTATAGACTCTAATTAGAGGTTAAACCCCTTAAAATAGAGAAGGTACCTCCTCTATTTAAAGCTTTAAGCTTTAAATTAGAGACTATATAGTCCTTATTTAAGGGATGTTCCAAAAGCCCTTATTTAAGGGATGTTGACTGGCAAGAGAAACGACATATTTTCCATGTTAGAGTCCACTTCAGAGCTCCGGCACATCGTGCTGTGCAGCAAAACTGTCAAACACAGAGAGCCCCACTGCTTTTGCAGTGCTTCCCCCACCTCTGCGCTCGGCCAAGAGTGCAATCCTACCGCCCCATGACTCCTCAGTGTATGTCCAGAAGGCAGACGGCGGAGTGCTAGTCTGGACAAGTTCGAGAAAGGCGTGCAGCTTTGGCTTGGCCGGAAAAGTCTTCCAGCCATGAGCCGCGGAGTAATCACCCAGCGCGACATAGAGAAGGGCGAAGCGCAGGGCAGCCTGTTCTAGAAGTTCTCTGTGAAAGGCCTCTTTGCTCAGCTGCTGGTAGCAGACCTGCAACTGCAGGGCGGCTGCTGCTGCAGTGGCGGCCGCAGGCTGTGTGTGGTCGAAGAGCTCGTTTGTGACCTCGACCGCGAAATCAATGAGGTCCCTAGCTTCACCGGCTTTCGCCCGCAAGCGGGCATAGGCGCCAGGCTGCTTCCAGATCATTGTGGGCTTGAGCTCCAGCAAGCAAGAAGTCTTGCAGGCTCTCTTGTAGTAGGCCTTCATACGCAAGTGTAGAGCGCTGCACTTTTGCGCTTGGTTGCCCTCGAGGTAATCGCAGGCCCAAGCCAAGATGCCCCCTAAGAATTCCAAGGAGATGCCCAAGTCAGTGGTGTGGAGCCAATCCATTTGGAAGGTTTCGGTGGTGACAAATGGAATGTTGAAGGCTGGAGAAATCGATTTCCCATCAGCCACCATCCTGACCAAGAGATCAGCATGGCAGAGGCGGTGGCTGGGCTGTCGCCAGTCGGAGTTGGAGGCCACTTCGCGAATGCGGTCTGGCGTCATATCACATCGATAGCAGCAGCCAGTTTTGTCGCGCCAGCCAGGGAAGCGAAAGACAGACTTGCAGCTGACCAATCACCTTTGATTTCCAGCAGCACCCCACGGGGCAAAGGCATGGCAGAGCCCAAAGCCTTCTTCCTCCAGGCATCGGTGTGGTCAAATGGCTTTCCGTCTGATCTGGTCTGAGGCCAACAGCCAGTGGCCAACTCTTTCATGAAAGTGGCCAACTCTTTCGCTTTAAGTGGTCCACAAAGTTGCCCCCGTAGAAGACATACATGAACTTATTCAACTCTTTCTCCTCAGGGTGCTCTTTCTTCTCGGCTTTGAAGGCAAACTTCTCGACCGACTCAGCAATTAGGTGCTGCACCAGAGAATCCTTGCGCTCAAAGGTCATCGAGTCCGGCTGGAAGGCGTTCATCTCCAAAATCTGGTTCCTGGCAGGGCAGCAAACAAAAAATGTTCTTTTCTGTCTTGGGGGTGGGGACCGCTGTGGGAGTTTAGTTTCAAAAGAGTCCTTGTAAAAAAACCTTCGCGCAGCTTGTCACGGGACTCCGTAGCATCCGTGTGTTGGTTCTCCACACTCATGAGCCACTGGGTATTGTTCTTGCCGCCAGCAGCTTCGAACTCTTTGAGCAGGCCCTCCTTTTCAGCCGCGGTCTTGCTCCAGTACATGTCCAAAAACTGCTGAGCCTGTGACTTCTTCTCTGCATCCTTGGAGTGGTTGGCCCTGTACTTCATGAGGTTCAAGACACGCTGCTGAAGCTGCATCTTCTCTGCAGCACTGGAGACGGTTTCTACCTCCAAGGCCTCAGTCGACTTGCCCCTTTTCAATTTAGCCCCAGCAGCAGGCTCTGCCTTGGCCTTGGCTTTAGCAGCAGCTTTGCCAGCAGCAGGCTTTTTGGGCGCAGCAGCCTTGCCAGCAGCAGGCTTCTTGGGCGCAGCAGCCTTGCTCGCACCAGCCATGGCAAGGACAAGTGGTACTCAAGACAAGTGGCCTCACAGACAGGGAGCTACTCAGGGGTGGAAAAGCTGAGAGCAGCGCCAAGCAAGAGCTGCAGCTCATCTCTCTCCCTTTGTCTCAAAAAAAAAGAGAGAGCGCATCGCACTTGCCATCCTGTACGGTGCTCCCAAAAACCGGCAAAAGACAGACAAACACATCGACCCAGCAAGAGAAGAACAAGAAAGGGGACAGGAAGGAGAAACAAACCGGAAGGACAAGATGTGCAATATGTTATGTCCTCAGGCCCTGACTCACAAAGAGCAAAGGACGCCAAGGTCTAGCCCCACCAGTCCAATGAACAAACATCTACTCCAAAGTCTGGGAAACAGACATTGAGCAGAAAGCCTGCGCAGCAAAAATTTTCAAATTTGAAAAAAATTTTCAAAAATGTTCCTTTTAATATTAAATTAAAAGGTAGACTTTTGAAAAAAAAATTCAAATTTGAAAATTTTGGTGGGTGTGCGTGTGTGTGTGTTGGTGTTGCGCGCACAACTGCTCCAAAACTCACAACTCGAGTTTGCTTCCAAAGCCACAACCGTTGAACTCCTATCTGTTTGTTTAACAAAGGAAACATTGCCAAATCCAAAGCCACTCAGCTGGCATATTTTTCCTGGCTACAGGATTGGTCGCTGTGACCGGTATGGATTCAGGGCATCTCCTGGCCCACTATACTTATAGGTGCCTCTGGTGAGTAGGGTCTGGGATCCAAACATATATACCAACCCTTAAAAAACAAACCCTTGCACTTAACAGGTGGTTATATATATATATATCTCTTCATTCATTTGAGGGGTTATACCCACAGACCCAAACATGTTCCAGTGCAGGCTCTAGGAGCTCAGGCGCCACTCTTGGATGCGGCGGAAAACAGCCAACGCGCGGCGCCACATGAGGCATGTGGTGCTCAAATCCGGGGACGCGTCCAGCTCAAGGTTCAACGGGTTCTGCGTGTGTGGAACGACTTCCCACTTGGCGTCAGCAGCAGCAGGCCGAATGTCCTCGAAGGTCTCATCGCTCTGTCCTGCACAGGGTAAGGTGTGCGAAACAAACAAACATGCATTCATTCAGGCCTGACTCCCAAGAGCAAAGGCCCAAAATCATGCGCAAAACACATGAGTTTAAACATATATTGTTTTTGGTTTTGGTGGCTTGCTCCTGACCCAGAAGGCAAAGGAGCAGGCCACCCATAGCTGCAAGAACTGTCAAGTCGGTCGAGAGTCCAGGGGGAGCTGTCCAAAGTCCGCTGCTTCCTTTGAACCCGGCATGCATGCATCGCACACTTTGAGCTGCTGCAAGTCGACTCACTCACTTCAGACCTTGCGCCTCTCTATACATCTAGGCCTCCTGACCTCCCTACGAAGCTAAGGATGCCGTGACTGCCCTGGTGCACTGCTGAACCGTGTGCGCGCGCGCGTATGTTGTGCTGTGCGCGGGGAAGCGACATGAACAGGACGAGATACAGAGGGGTCGACAATCGGGGAAAGAGACAAGACCAAACAACAAGACCAAACAAAACACAAATCTCCCCCAAAACAAATTTTGCTTTTGGTTCGCAGCTGTGCAATCAAAGAAGGCCCCGCTTCCGCCAACACGACGGAGTGCAGCCCCTGCGATTTCTGCAGGTTCCACAGCCTTTGGGCCGGAGCTTCTGTCGCTCCGTCCCTAGCATGGTTTTGCCTGTCTTTTCATTGTACAAATCTGGCAGAGGCGACAAGCTTTCCTCCGAATTGGCCTCCCCCTCAGATGCCAGGGCTGCAGCAGCAGGCGCGGCTGCGGGTCGCTTCTGCGCGGGTCTCTTCTTTGGGGCCGAGGCCGGCTTTTTGCGGGTTGCCAAATCCTCCAACAAAGTAGGGCATTCAGTTTCTTCTTGGGCGCCGTCTCGCCAAGTTGCCACTAGGAACCCATTGCTCCCAGCGCTCATCTTAGCTTCCTCCCGACGCCCACCCGGATGCATGCGCACTGCCACGCGCTTCTCCCACTCAAAGAAATGCGCCACAGTCGCTCCCTCTTTCAAATCCGGCGCTGAGCTCGCCACTGTCAAACGTGGAGCCAAGCGCCTGACTTTCTTTGGCGGTGACACACCCATGGCAGCAAACACATCCTGTTGGAGAATGCCCGCATTGTCCGAGCTGGTTGTGTCTGGCCTATAGCGCCTGCGCTTGAGGACGCGGCAGTTCCTGACGCCACCGGCAACGGTGTCGCAGAGGATCTGCCCAGGTCGCGCAATCGCTTCACCACACGGAGAACAGAAGCTGCGGTCTTTGCCCCTGACGTCACAGATTTGGCCTTCGTCCTGCACTCTTTGAATGCCTTGTGCAACTGCTGGGCAAACATGGCCTTCTCAGAAGCCTGCACTCCAGTGAATGCTAGCTTGGCAGCAGCTTCCAAGGCTGAACGGTTGGGTCGCTCTGTCAAAGCAAGGATGTCCAACATGAGTTCTTCGTATTCTGTCACCACATCTTCATAGTTGCTCGC